GCCTGACCCGCCGCGTTCCAGCCACGACGGCCTGGCGGCGCTGCTGCGGTCGCCGCGTACTGTGATCCTGTACCCGGGTCCTGAGGCGGCGGACGTGACGTCACTGCCGCCGGCCGCCGCCTCCGAGCCGCCCTACAACGTGCTGCTGCTGGACGGCACCTGGCGGCAGGCCAAGACCATGTACACGATGAGTCCGGCTCTGCACGGTGTTCGTCAGGTAGGTGGCGCTGGCGTCGGAAGCGTACGACTGCCGACAGTGAACAGGGGTCGCGTAAGCTGTTGGATCATTGATCCAATGAATCGTTGAATCCTTAGAAGTCATGGCGGTAGCCGAATCCTATCTTTAGGATGATGTTTTTTGACTCCCCAGCTCCATGAACGACGTGGACTTGCAGGTTTAGTGCTGATGCGGAGTCGCAGCCGTGGCACTGGTTTGGACCTACAGCCGTAGCACTGGTCTGGGCTCGCAGTCAAGTGCGTATCAGTGAACCGCCTACTGTGGATGTCGAGAGAAAACTGTGCTTCAGAAGCGTGGCAACCCTGCACTCACTGTTAATCAAACACCAATAGATTGATTGCACGACGCACTGCGGTTTTTACATATCGTTGGGCACCGTGTAGTGCAGTCGACACCATCAATACCACAAAGTCATCAGTAAGCTAAATACGACGAGAGCCTTAAACGCCCCCAGCAACCGGCACACTGCATTATCCTGATTATCGTTATTGTCGATTAAGGGATTTAAGTGTATCAAATTCTGCTCTAAAAATAGCAGCTCTGTTGAGGCTGGACCACTGCCTGATCCGCGAAAGCCCCCGCATGGTGTGCTCAAAGGGGCCAAGGCTAACGAGCAGGCTTCCTAGACCTGTTGGCTGAAGGGCGGCAAAGGGTATCTGTTGTGCGATGTGACGTCGTTCGCCATCTGCCGGCGCATAAGCCGTCTTCCGACTGGCAGGTGCAGGTGAGCGGCCGCCTCTGCAGCAGCTACGTGGTGCGGACCCAGCCGACCAACGCCTGTCTCAGCACGGTGGAGGCGGCCGCCGCCTGTCTGCAGCACCTGGAGCAGCGGCCGCAGCTGGGGCCGCAGCTGCTGCAGCCGCTGCACGCGCTCTGTCGCGTGCAGCTCAGCCACGGCGCCGTGCGGCACAGCAGCAAGCAGGCGCTGATCGAGCGCGGCGAATACGAGCGGCAGCGCGGCGCGCGGACCAATCGCATGTTTCGCCAGCTGGGAGTGGTGTTGTGACGCCGGCGGCATCTATCGGTGACGCGGGGAAGCTGAAGTGCGATGGTGGATCGTGTGGATCGAGCCTATTCGTGGCCTGATTGGTCCGGATCTGAACGGGAGATCATTTGTCACGCTTTGAAGTGCAGTACTGCAAGGTCCGATACGGTTTCTTGGCTCGTTGACTGCAAGTTCATGCTGTGTCGTGGAATTAGCAAGCATGTAACTGGATTTGGCTTTTTTGATGGACTGAAGGTTAGTAGAGCCATATAACTGAATGTATCTATGAATGCATGAATGATGAAGATATGGACGTAGGCGAAATGCGGGCTTCCGTTACGCCTGTTCTGGCCCTGTCATGCATGGTCTACACACAAACATCCTGCGGACTGGGCGTCATCTGGCGCCTCGGGGCCAACCTGCCTCGGGACCTGGTCCACTACGACGGCAATGGCCGTGGGCACATAATGTGTCAAGCGCTGCTCTAGGAGCATAGAGAAGCGAGAAGAGGAAGTAAGACGACGTTCGGCGATCTCTGACCGTGGCCAGTTGGACAGCTGTCACCGTCGCGGTGCTTTGCTGGATCGTAACGAAAGCGCCGGTCCTACAGAGCCTAGCCTGATGACTGGAAAACACCGGAAGGCAGTATGAGACAGGGGGACATGTATTCGCGGGCTTCACTACGAGCACACGCGTTCAATTCAGTAAAGGTCTTTATTAGACCGATTGGTATCAATTACGCTATCACATGAAGAGGCACTGTGCTCAGCAGCACAGCTGCGCCTGGACACAACCGCCTGGACGGCGCTCAGCCAGGGCCAGAGCGCGTGCTGCGGGCGCCGCCTCAACTTCGCCTGCGGTGCCACAGCGCCACCTACAGCTAAGCACTACACTTCTGCAGGGGCGTGCAAAGGAGCGCACAGTGACTTAACCCTTACAGTACCTCATTTTCGTAAGAACACGGAGTGGACAAAGTGCGACTCATCTGCACAACCGATGATGACGCACGACATCGTCCGGACCAGCGCAGCAAACTCGAAACACTGGTACAAAGTCGTGACAGAACAGCTTTCTTTGATATGCTTGCTTCTTGCGCTGGTGACAAGCGAAACAACGCGGAGGCGCCGCATCTTCTGATTCGAGCGCAATGGTCACAAACACGAGCATGGATGACAGGATAGCAATGGTCACAAACACGAGCATGGATGACAGGATTGCAATGGTCACAAACAGGCATGGATGATAGGATAGCAATAGTCACAAACGCAAGCATGTCAGATGCGGGTCACGAAACCAGGCTCTTAGCCGATGCGTGGTGAAACTCAACGACGCGTACTCTTCCAACCATAACGATACGGAGCACAGACTACAGGTCCGCACCGCGTCCGGGGCAGCGGAGTGGAATGAACCACGGACGTGGCCCCCATCGCCCACGGCTCCCGCGTCGCGGGGGGAGGCGGGCTCACACCGAACTTAGCTACTGGGGTCGGCTACCACTCGGTCGAATGCTCATCATCAGTCTGCAAATGCCCGCAGCCTCAGACGGTTGTGATGGACGACCAGGTCCTTCCCTGCGAGTCAGGCAACCTGATCCGGCTATTCAATTCGCCAACTCTGGCGAGAACCGCGGCCGGCTCCCAGGGTCGCACAACCTTACGATACTCGCCCCTGGCTGGCACCTTACGAAATAAACACACCGCGTCCCCCGGTGAACACTCGGAACACGTTCAATTTCCGGTCGTGTAACTAGCGGTCTGCGGTACTGGCTAGCCCGGTCCTGCCCAGGGCGAAGCCGTGCGCTTTTTGCGAGCCACGGCACCCGCACCCGATGATGCTGGGCGCGCCTCTGCGGAGGCAGCGCGCCCGGCCGCGGACCGCGCCTGAGGCGTCCCACACGTGATGCCGCTCAGCTGTTCTGTGGAGTAGACCCTAACTGGCGGGGAATTCTGGACCCTCTTGAACAAGGAGAAGCCGCTTTTTGTGAACGTTGTCCAGATTGTCATGCCTCGCCTGAGCCGGAGAAGTTGACTACAGATGGCCTGCTTGTTTTCCGCAAGTGACTCGTTGAGGCACACCCCTTTCTTCAGGTCGGGTTCTTTTTTCGTTTTGGTCCGTCCGTTCCGTTTCGGTCCGTACGTGGAGCATAACCCTTGGGCACGGCGTGGGAGAGCATACTCTAGATAAGTCCCTCTCTTGCGGTGGTGGGCACACTGTTCGGTCCGCACGTGGAGCATAACCCTTGGGCACGGCGTGGGAGAGCATACTCTAGATAAGTCCCTCTCTTGCGATGGTGGGCACACTGTTTTGGTCCCACATCCACTTTGAGCGGACACTTTCCAGAAAGGTGACGATGAAGTGACGTCCGGGGTACTCCGTGCAAAGCAGCCGCACGCTTTACGCTGTTCTCCCTTTAGACGGCTGTGACGGCCTCCTGCATACTCTCCCTGGTCCATCTTCCTCGGGTCGTCTTGCTCTCATAGACTCGGGACATGATGTTTGCAAACGGGGAAAAGCGAAGGACTAGGTTAGGTGATGAGCCGAGGATGATAAGACATTTGCATACAAAAAAAAACAGGGGCCTGAGCCGGTAGCCGTCGTTGAAGCACGTGACTCGTCGCAAGAGGGAGGGAAGAGCGGCATGATGCCTCTTGGGATCGTGTACGAGACAAGTACGATAGGTGGGCACGTCTTGGGAAACACTTCTTGGAAACAAATCTTGCCCCTTGTAGACACTTTGATCCAGCCAAAGAATGAAATGTTCCCATGGCGGTAATATGTGACCACATAGTTCAGCTCCCTATGGACAAATTCAACATTAACCGCATCACGGCCTAACCTGTGGTATGGTACAAGACGGGCGTTACACGCGTTTTGTCTGTCTTACCCCTCTTCTGTCACCGAGAAAATCGACGAGACTTGCTTGTACTCCATGTTGGCGGGTCTCCCGCGAGTCATGCCTTATAAACAGTGACCTTGCGAAGCATCGTCCGTCAAAAGCTAACCGTCCTACACTTTACTTTAGGTAAGCAGGGTCTTAGGCAAGCCGATGGAAAAATATTCCTTTCTAAAAAATATTCCTTTGAGAGGCACATAACAGTTTTATCGCCTTCCAAACAGCACCCGCCGCCTACCTTCGTGTGGCAGCGCGGCGGCAGTTAGGTGTGCTGGAGGACCGCGGTTGATGAATTTCGCGGTAGTAGCGCGAGTACTTAAGCTTGTGGAGGAGTGTCCGCCTTCCCTACCCTGGTCGTCTTGTCCTCTCTCCTCTACACCAATAGTTATACCTGAGCTTGCCTCATCGCATCTGGTGCTTCAATGTCTTCAAATGTGAAAGATTCCCTTTAATTTTCATGCCCCACATTTTGTGAGCAGCTGACGTGACGCCTGGACCTTTCAAATTGTTGAAAAATCTGAAACAAGAACGATGACTAGCTCACGGGAAGGGAATGAGTCCATGAAAAGGTCTTCTGCAGACAGGAGAACTCAGTTTTCCAATTCATCAATGAAACTTCTATAACAATCCCAGGGGGGCGAAAGGTAACATGGTGCGCTAATTGTGGGACGTGGCAACACAGTTGGCACCCAAAAACCAACAAGTAGTGCCATTGCTTTGATAGTAATATCGCTTTTATGCTAAGAGGCTCATATGGTAAAAAACACAAAAGCCACGTTTTTCCCCGGTTCACTTCCGACAAGCGGCCACTTCACTCCAACAGGCCGATAGGTCATGAACCAGGATTCACTCGAGCCTTACGTCCAACAGGAGCAAAAAGTGGTTTAAACATTCATTAAACATGTTGAACATATTTAATTTTTGAACGTGTTTAATGTTTGAACATGTTTAATGTTGAGCATGTTTAATGTTTGAACATGTTTAATATTTGAATATGGTTAATATTTGAACATGTTTAATGTTGAACACGTTTCATGTTTAAACATGGTTAAATATGTTGACTGCCCCGTGTGAGTGCCAGTTGTGATTCATCACGTTTTGATTGGGTTGCCTAGGTCTACACCAAACCTGCTATGCCTGCTATTAAAGTCGCACTGCTCCTTTGAAGACATCGAATGTTTCAGAATGCAGACTGCCTAACTGATGACAACATTTCTTTAACATTTTGGCAGTTCATATGTCGCAGAAGCTGATACATAAAGTTACAAACTTGGTGTGAAGCGAAGTAGTATAAAAGAGCGGAAGCGGATATGATTTGTTTGCACGTCATCTTTGCGCGTAGCATAAGTTTTCCCCGCTGATTTCGCACATCTTAAATCCAATACTGAGTGAGATATTGTCGAAGACGGATTCGTGCTTCACAGCACCGCGTAAGATGAACAAGCGCTCCTATCTGCGTAACAATCCTCCGTTCAATGTGAAATATTTACCCCGTTGCTCACAAGAATCCGATCAACCCGACATTGATTCCGCAGCATCCTGCCAACATGCCTTCGGCTTGGCCACAGTGCCAGCATCGAAAGGGAAATGAACGCGAATATTTTACGGCTTGACGTAGATGCTGCCAAAGCGCCAGGTTTCACCCACGTTGGGGCCTGCTGAGCTCGCCACTTGGATTATTTGCATCTGTTGGGCAGTGCAAGCTTTAATCTCGACGACGTGCCTTTGTTTGAGGCCTGACCCAGGCAGATAAGTCTGCTAGATTTGGAGATCTCAATGGAGCCTGAGCCGGCACCAGCCACACACAGATCGCCAAAAAATCGCGTCCTGAAAATTAGCTTAAAGCTCATTCCATCTCTGCAAGACCACAGGCTTGATGCAAAAAAATGACGAAAATTGGATGAGCCTTCACCCAAGCAGGGTCTCCTGTTTGCACACCTGTTGACAGGCAGCTCAGGGCCCATGGCCGACAGAATACCATGCCTTTCTCGAACATTCCTGGTGAGCCCGTTCCATGGTCATTGTCAGAGTCAGAATCAGAATCAGATCAGAATCAGTTATATCTGCACCGGCGGCCTGCCTGCCGGCGGTGAATCGGTCTGCATGGGCGACAGCGGCGGCCCGCTCGTCACGCTGGAGAACAGCAAGTACGCCCTGATCGGCGTCGTCTCGTTGGGCCGGCCGTGCGGCCACGCGAACATCCCGACGTCTTCACCCGGGTGTCGTCACTCCGGGGCTGGATCGAGTCAAACACGCGCGACGCCACCTACCGCAGCTAGAGTGCGGCAGGCAGCGGTGGCCTGCTGCTGCAGCGCAACTTCAAATCCGCAGGCTTAAA